TTTTTCAAGCCTAGCACGTGGACATTACAAATTGGGTAACGTGGAGCATGTGTGGCCGTTAAGCTTTACACATGAGACAACATACTCTAATACCATGAAGAAAGTTGAGACTCCACCATAAAACCCGTTGGCAATATAGGGAATAGCTAAATTATTTATAAAGCTGGGCAACTGTCCATGACCTAAAAAATTTGAAGGCACCATAATTATTAGGGTGATATGTTCATATATGTTTTCATAAGAGTATAAATTTATAAAATTTGATTAAATGATCAAAAAGTTTAACAAGAAATGACAACCCCTGAGATTTTCTTAACAGCCATGAGATTTTTACAAATGCTCTATTTGGTTACTAAATTGAGTTTGAAGACTTTAATTGCATTCGTAGTAATTTATTGAGTTTGAAATACTTTTCTAAATATAATTTTATCGAAGTCTTAGGTGTGAAATCAAATAATTTTCCTTATATGAAGTTAGATATTTTTTAGAGGGTTGCCCTGAACCTCAAAAACCTTAGGGCTGTGAGAATGTACAGGTAAAAGAGTCTCATATTGGTGAAAGAAAAAACATTGTAAAAGATTATAAGAGGTTGGACTACTCCTCATATTGGCCATTGCTTTTATGGTAGAACCTAACTTTCTTCATGGTATCAAAGCAAGTTAGCCCACGTGTCCATGTCACCCACTTCGTGTTGTCCATATGTTTGGCTTGAAAATTCGCCACACATGAGGGCGCATATGAGAATATGAAGGTAAAAAAGTCTCACATTGGTGAAAGGAGAAATCTTGCAAGGGCTTATAAGAGGTTGGGCTACTCTCTATTTTGCCAATTAGTTTTACGGTTGGAACCTCAACTTTCTGTAAGTCCAGCCCTAAACACATACAATGTCTATTCTTTTCCCAACGTGAAATTCTTACTCCCAACACTTATTACTCACTTTCCAACAGTCTTAACAAGCATATATATTCTTACATGATGGTGATCGGCACAAATCGCAACCCAATGCATAGCTAACACCTGTCATTAAGAGTGTCACAGCTAGGAGGCAAATTCTCTACCCTCCCATTTCTCGTGCCCTCCTGTTTTGTGTGGTCACAGTTAAGTCACGTCAGCATTTTATATATTTTTTTATAGAGATAATAAGACAAAAATGAATAGTAATATAAAATGTTGACATAGCTTAACCGTGACCACACAAACAGGAGGACACGAGAAGTGGGAGGAAAGAGAATCTTCCTCCTCACAGCTAAAGCAGGAGCAGACATTGGCTTCTCAAATTACACATCGAATTTGCTGCACCTGGAAGTATTATAACCACTTAATTATGGTAAAGATAAGTTGATTTTCACGATTCTGCAGAGTCTAAAAGAGGAGATCAGGAACCTCTCGAGCCACTTTTATTGGCAATTTTTGTGCTTTTCCCCACATTGGCCGGTGATTGTAAGACCTGTTTATGACGGTGATCAATAAAGTCCACTATAAGTGACAAACAACGCATCGCATTACTGCGTGAAGGAAAGGAAAAAAAAAAAGGCGCGTGAAGTTTTTATCTTTCAAAAAAATTTACTTGAAAACAATTTTGTGATCTTTATCTTTCAAAAAAATGTTTATGATTTTATTCTTTTGGTCGTAATCTACAGTGTGCAATACCTTCTTAATTTTACACAAGCTAGGTGTAAAGAAAAAGTAACTTAATGATAAGCTCATATTTATATATATTTTACATAAAATTTACTTGTCTTTTCTTAGTTAGTTCTTTATATTTTTGAGCTATTTACTATGTTTTTGTGTTTTGTGTGATTTATCAAGCAAAGAAAAGAAAAGTAGCACAAGTGAGATATTAAGTAACAAATTCGTCAAAACTGCCTGTTCAGATTAGCTGACTTTGGAAGCATGTTACGAACATCTCAGAATGAATGAGAAAATGAGCCTTATATGCTTGGAAAGCTACGGAAGCCTATTTTCTGGAGAAATTTACGGATTGTTAATATCATTTTTCTAGAAGAAGTTATGGGCATTGTAACACTGAAAGGTTCAGCAAAGGGCTAAGCAGATTTGGCTAATAAAATGAGAAAGTAAAGGCACTTGTTTTGTGTTTTGCTTTGTCATCAACACTCAGCAGCAAATGGGGTAATGATTGCACTCATTTGGCTTTGGAGCAAGTGGAAATGCACAGCTAGAAAGAGAAGGCACGACATATGCAAAAGAGAAACATGGACAGCTACACACATTCAAACTGCAGAGGTTGGAGGGCATACACACACTCTACATGGACAGCACACACACAACAAGAAAGGCACGGCATGGAGGGCTTGGCATGGGTAGAAAATAGGTGGATTGTTAGCTGAAATAATGAAGAACATGTGTGTGCAAATGCAAAGGAAATACACACACATGGGCAAAGGAAAGACACACACATGGGCAAAGAGAAAGGCACGGCATGGACAGTTGGCATGGGCAGAAAATGGGTTGATTTGTGGCTGAAATGATGAAGAACATGTGTGTAAATGTAAAGGAGAAACATGGCAGAAAATGTGTTTGTTTTGTGGCTGAAATGATGGAGGTCATGTGTGTGCAAATGAAAAGGGAAACATGGACATCACACACCCATACAAACTGCACATGAAAGGAATTGAAGTGGTCATCTCCTTAGCCTATAAATACATCCACCATTCCCCTTCCTAAGAACAATCTTGATCCATCAAAATAGCTTCATTCACAAACACAATTTCCTTGCTGTGACCTCCATCCATTCATCTAGCCATACTACATCTCACCAATCCATACACTTTCATCTCTTAGCCGTGCAAATCTATTCCATCCATATATCCATACACATCCTAGACACTTGTGCTACAACAAGGTAGTGAAAACAAAGGTCCTTGGCGTTTCAAGCTTGGAACTTTGGAGCATTTTAGGTATCTTCGTTCTTGCTTTCAATGTCTACTTTGTTATTTTCTAATTTTGTTGCAATTATGAGTGGCTAAACCCCTATTTAGTTAGGGGGAAGTTTGAAGCCATGAACATGCTTGAGATTTGACTTGATTTCTTCCAATTGTGATTTGATAAGTTGTGATTGCAATTCAATTATCTATTTTATTCATAACTGATTCTTGTATGTTTATTAAGGATGCATACTTAGTTTTCATGCATGAATTAGATGCTAGAATATAAATGAGTTTCACCTAATCGTTACAAGTTTATATTCATGAGTAGTGAAGGTTGTTTATCACAATCGTGTTAATTGAATTCTTGGCAATTGTATCATGCATTCATAGTTATAATTACCTCGTCAACACTTATGATTGTCATTGAACGTAATGATCTCTAATTGTATCTCTATTATGCATTCATATAGGGGACTTTTAGAGAATGATTTGGGTTGTCGCATGCATTCATCTAATTCAATGAGTAAAGGAAAATCTGAGGGTTAATTTGTGCATCACAGTTAATCTGGGGTGTTGAGCATCATAGTTATTTGAAAAGCAATTGGAAATCGATTCATGTACAAGTGTGTCATGTGTGAAGAACGGACCTCTAACTAATCCATCCATCATCGTATTCCTCAAATTTGTCTTATAATCTGCCTAGTTTTATAACTTGTTGTTTGTTTCAAATTCATCAAAACCAAAATCCCCATTTTACGTTCTTGTTTCAAAGTGTTAAATTTCGGTATTGTTTGTGTTTTTGAGTGTTTTGATTCAAGCCAAAACACTAAATTCGTCCAAAATTGTGTTAGAGTCAAATCTGCCCAGTTTGTGTTTTTAGGCAGTTTTGAGTCTTTAGAATTTGTTTTGAGTCCCTTGAGTCTATTCAAACGTTTTTAACTTTGTTTTTATGTTTTTGAGTAAGTTTAGAGGTTTTAGCAAGCGCTCCTAATCCTCGGTTTAGAACGATCCCTACTTGCATTTATACTACAATTTGACAATAAGAGAGTTTAATTTGAGTGCTTTAACTTTCATCGCATCACTTAACTTAGATTATTGAAAATTAGAAGATAGGAAAATGTTAAGTTTGGATAACTACCCAATATATAGAGATGATTCCAAATTGATCCTAACTTTTTAAAACATTCAAACTAACTATCTAAGGCTTTAAAAAATGAATGTATGTTGTATTCATTATCATTAAGTGATGACATGAACAAATATTAATGCGTGTTTTAACTCTTAATACATCAATGGAGTTTTGAATCTCCAAATCGTTGCATTTTAGCTAGCAAATTTATGGTTAACATGGCTAAAAGGGGTCAATTTGGAGGATTAAAGCTCCAAAGACGATGATTAGTGAAAATCAATTTTATTATTTGTCCATCTCATCATTTAATGTAGTAATGTCATCACTTAATGTTGGTAAAGTCCTCACTTATCACCAATGACCTAATTTTTAAAACGTTAGTTATTTAAAATATTTTAAAAAGTTGAGACCAATTAAAAATTACTCCAAAAAATTTGTTAGTTATTTAAAACGTTAGTTATTTAAAATGTTTTAAAATGTTTTGAAGTGGAAAGCTGGCTAAACTACGATGTAAGCATCACGAACTCACATTAAAAACTAGAAAGCTTTCGACTTTATGATTTTAATATAGAGACAAAATCAGACTTTCCTGCTAAATGGGATTTTGGATCTTGCAAAAGCTTATATGCATTTACCATGTGCTTTTGTCTTTATAGATGAAATTCAAAGTCTAAGCCAACAATTCTGTCTCGACATTCCTATTGACAAACCAAAAACCATGCACAATCAAATAATACTTTGACATTCTCCCGGTATTAGTTGAACTACTTTCTTTTTGGCCGGCTAATTAACATTGAGCCAGAAAATCAACAACCAAAACCACACTGGCTATATGACCACAATCGCATAAGCAACAATCCGTATTCGTCTTTACTCCTCCTCCCTTTCCTTATATATATATATATATATATATATATATATATGAGTAAATACACATAGGACCATGCATACCATCAGCATTAACTAGCTCCAAACTTCTTGCTACTAAATAAAACATTCGAGCTGATTAATTAGGAGATGGGAAGATCAATGAAGGTCGAGATTGAAGTGATCTCCAATAAGATAATCAAACCATCTTCTCCAACTCCTGGCCACCTTCGTCATTACCAATTCTCCTTTCTTGATCAAATAGCTCCCCAAGTCTACAACCCTTTACTCCTCTTCTATGAATACAATGCCAAGACACATCCCAATATCACTGAAATATCCAACCACCTTAAGAACTCGTTATCCAAGGTCCTATCCCTATTCTACCCGCTAGCGGGAATCAAACACAACCACTTCATACATTGCAATGACGAGGGCATCCCCTACGTCAAGGCTCAAGTGCTGAATTGCACTCTCTCTGATGTTCTCAGCAACCCCAACCCTGGTGAACTTAACAAGTTCATGCCATTTGAACTTGATGATATTACCAATCCATTACCCTTAGGGGTCCAGCTCAACATATTTCAGTGTGGAGGATTTGCTATTGGCCAATGCATTTCTCACAAGATTGCTGATGGGTTGTCCTATTTCATGTTCAGCAAAATTTGGGCAGCCATTGCCCGTGGGAACCAAGCCAACATAGACCCTCCACCATTTGTGTCAGCCACTCTTCCCACCAAAGGAGTTCAATACTGGATTCGATGGAGGCGTTGGAATCACAAAGGATAGAGTGACAAAGAGGTTCGTGTTCAGTGCCTCTAAATAGAAACCCTCCAAGCAAAATATGAAGAAGATATGAAAAGCCTCCAACTAAAATGCCCCTCGCGTGTCGAGAGACCTTATCCGCTTTCATATGGAGTCGATTTGTGGTGGCTACAAAGGATTGTACCGTGAATAAATTGTACAGGGTGGTCCATGCAGTGAACCTACGTCCACGGTTTAGTCCACCGTTGCCTCAACATTCTTGTGGGAATCTTTTTCGTGTTGCCATTGTTATAACCAATCAGTATAAGGAATCAAGCAAAATATATATATATATATATATATATATATATATATATATATTTACAACTATAATAACCAACTAAAATTACAAAAATCAAATTGAAATTGAACCTGATAACAACAATTGAAATTGAAATGTACTAACTTGATCAGATAGAGGCCTACGATGCAGTGACCTAAGACAGAAATTCGTCCTCACTTGTGCTGTAGTTTTGGACGTCTATCTAGAGGATACAACTATCTAAAACAAGTTCTTGCACACGAACTTGTTCCCTAACGAATTTACTTTATGTTTTTCCAAGAACAACAGAAGAAGAAGAGGGAAGAAGATCAAGTTTTTTTTTTTCTGTGTTTCAAGGACGAATGGTTTCGTCCTTATATAAAACCCAAATGAGTCGTTACGTCGTCAGTTGCAACTGTTCGATTTTATCCGAGATTATTGAAAATAATAAAATTACATTAAAAACTAAATCGGATTTAATCAACAAAGCCCAAGAGGTCGATTTTATCCGAGATTATTGAAAATAATAAAATTACATTAAAAATTAAATCGGATTTAATTAGCAGAGCATAATAGGTCCAAGGTCATTTTTTACTATTTAATATATATGTAGCCCATTAGTAAGTCCACTTCTCACTTGTCATCCATTTAACCCTTAAATGGGTAAAACCCATATAAAGGCTATAAATCCTCAACCTTCCTTCGATGTGGGACTAAAGTCCCACAAGTTCCTACAGCCATGACATCACCTTTGCAAACCAGTAACGGTGGGGAGGAAGAATGTGATGGGGTGGTGATTGGGGAGGTGCGAGAAACACTGAGCAAGATTGACAAAGAGTACGTGAAGGAATTACAAAGGCAGGGTGATAAGCACTTGGGTTTAATGAAGGAAACTGCTGATAGTTTCAAGAGAGGAGACATGGCTACGTTACTTAGCTTCAGTAGTTATTGTAGGTTTCCTCTTTATGAAAATGATTTTGGTTGGGGCAGACCTGCGTGGGTGGGATCACCGGCACTGACCTATAAGAACCTGGTGCTTTTCATGGACACCAAGGAGGGTGATGGAATAGAGGCATATGTTAGCTTGGAGGAGAGAGTAATGGCCAAATTCGAATGTGACAGCGAGTTGCTCTCTTATGTTTCTCCAACCGGTCGGGTGCTGCCGAGTTGTGAAAATTAATTTCGCAATGTTTTTGTTATGTGTCACAAATAATGTGAATTTTATGAGTTTTAATTAAATTTAGCCCTAAAAATATCCTAAATCTCTGACCCTAATAACATCTCAGATCTCCCTCCTTTGTGTCTCACACAACTGTTCTCATCTATCCTCCCACCCTTCCACCCACAAATACTCCAATTGCCTGCTAGATGCTTACTTTCAAATGAGAAGCCTTATCTGGTCACTGTATTTGCTACCCACCTTGAGAAGGTGTGCAAAACCACTTTGGTGGTTTAGGTCCCTGCGCTGCCTCCTTCTACAGTTTCGATGATATTTTATCTACTTGCGTAATTCTTCCCTTACTGGTCCTCGGGTGGTGGACAAGGTCGCTGGTGTTGGTTGTTGTTTTTGCTAGCTAAGTTTTATTTTGAGCAATTTTATATATTTTTTGTGGAACTTTGATGTTGTGAAATTAGGGATTTGGTTTGTTTTTCATTTGGTGATGCTTTGTATCTTTGTTTATGTTTTTGGGCCTTTGTGTTTTGTTGGCACCGATGGGAAATCGGTTTATATGATAGATGGAATGGTGAGGTGCATGGTAGCTAAGGCAGTGACGACTTATGTCAACAAACTATGTCTAATTAGGTCATCATATGATTTGCTTAGGCTTCTATATCCTCTTTAGCCTACTTGCAGCTTGTTTTATGTTTATCTCTTGTGACATCTTCTGTTATCAATAAAGTTTATGTTTGACAAAATAAAAAATAATCTCTTCTAGTTTTTTCCTAAAATGCTTTGCACTTTAATTGTACCAGCACTCATGTCATGACATGTCCATATTGATCAATATGTACTAATTCTCGCATAATATACATATAGTTGGGGCATTTTGATCTAGATTCTTGGTTTTTGAATTAATTTCTTAACTAAACATCTAAGGCTTTTAGAGATTTGATCAAACTACTTTTCTACAATTTTTTTCTTAAAAAGGGGGACAACTGGTGACAAGTTGCGGTTATCCACCCCTTGGGCCTGGAGAGGCTATGGGGAATTTCCCCATGCCCGTTGCCACAGCCAAGCAGGCTCACCAGCTCGTAGCATCGAAACCGGGACCTCCCACATTTATTTATTTATTTATTGGTTCCATAGTCCGCGCCTTACCATTGAGCCACTTTTCTACAATTTTAATTCATTAATTTCAAATTACAATTTTATTTAATTTATTAATTTCAAATTACACAAATTATTATTATATTTTTAATTAATTTCAAATTACACAAATTGTTATTTGTTGGAGCAGAAAAACTCGGATCCTCCAATCCTACAACAAGTAAATTTTGCAATCATGTGAGAAGTCCAAAACACCAACTTCGCTTACCATCAATGAGAGCGGGGGACCTGCAAGAAAACACTATGACGCTCAAGTCAGTTTTTATTCAAGGTGCTTGTAAAATATAGAACCTCTCTACCTCCCCTTTTATTGTCAGATTCTAGTTCCTTTATAGGCATAAAATACTTAGGCTCCAAGTCCTACTTTCCTTCTATTTCTCCATGTTCCATCTTCCATGATCATGCCCCTTTATTCTAGCTCCACTCCCCCAAATTTAGGAAGTGGCTGCTTGCTTAAGCCTTATTTTTTGCACCCACATTATTATAATTTTAATTAAATTTTTAATTAATTTCAAATTACACAAATTGTTATTATAATTAAGTAATTTAAGTTACTAATTAAATCCGATATATAACAAACTCTTAAAATCTTGCAAAAGAAGATATTATTAATTTATGTCCTATTAATTCAATATTTAAAAGAAAATTCTATAATAACAAAAATAAATAAAAAGGTTGAATTGTGGGTACAAAAACTCGATGGTTTTTTTTAACCAAAAAAAAAAACAAACATTGATATTTTAAACTTATCAATATGCTCCAAATAATAAATTCTCAAATGATATTACATACATGATATATATACATGCCCATATATATTAAAAATTAGCGGACCCATAATTTGGTATGTTATTGGTACGTTATGTAATCCAAATTTGGGTACAAATTAGTATATGTTATTTAATTTTCGTTTAGATGTGTAGCAAGCTACTGGTATGTTTATATTTCATAATTTTTGTATGCAAAAGCTAACGGCAAGTTATGTATATCCCTAAAACCTATCGGTATGTTTCAAGCCAATATGGGTACACCTCAATTTGGTATGGTACAATTTCAATTTAGTAAGCATTCGACATGAATATGTTTTAATTTAACATAGGTACGTTTCAATTTGAGAATAAATTATGCTGGTACATATCAATGTTTATTTTCAGAGAACAATGGTACATTTCAATTCAATATTACTTGAATTTCTAGAAGGAAAAATAACAAATGAGAACTAATCATTAATGACAATAGGTACAACAGTGAAGAAAAAACGAAGCTTTACATATAAAGATAAAAATATATACAATATGAACTCTGAGTTTTTAAATATTTCAAGTAGAGACAAAATATAAGAATCCGTTTCGGGATTTACAGAATGAAAAGAATATTTTTGTATTCTCACTAGGTCTGGAGATTTTTTTTTTTATAAATGATTTTTGGGTCTTAAATAGTGTACCCAAGGGCCCACCCCTGTTGTGTCCCCGGTCCCCTCTTCCAGTTCTTCCTACTCCCATTTCTTCTCTCTTCTCTCCCGGGTATCTCTCTTCACTCTCTCCCCGAAACTCCCTCTGCAACTCTCTCCTTTCTTCCTGGAAAAACCAACACACACAAACATATGTACACCCAGACAGCAACCACTCACCACCATCTAGACCTTGTTACCAAGAAGCTCGGACCGATGACCCTGAAGCTCCATAGTGGTGGAGCCACTGTTCACTGTTTCCCCGACTTGCTTTGTTGTAGGTGAGCTTCGAAGACCCTTTAAACTTTCCCCTTTGGTTCCCATGTTTCGTTTCTAACCACGTTGATGTGTTCTGGACGTCAAATTATGAAGAAACACCTCGGAGGAGCTAAACCCAGATTCCAGCGATAAACCGTGGTCGTTTGGTCATCTTTCAGGCCATTTTCCGGTCAACTCCGGAGCCCACTCAGTCCCCAATTGGTATGAATATTTTCGCCACATTTATAGCTACAATTTGGCTTTTGAATCACTCAATTTGGTTAAGTAACGAAGACGTTACGAAACTTTGAAATTCCCAAAACCTTCGGCCAAAAACCCAGTTTTCCGACCAGCACCGCCCCTTTCGAGGCGTTTTCCGGCCAAACCACTGTGCTTTGGCCGGCGTGAAGGTTATCAATCTCTTCATCTCGTCGAGTACTACAACTTTCATGTTTGGATCACTTGATTTGGATGAGTAACAAAGAAGTTATGAGCCGTGGAAAATCAACCACCAAACCGGCCAAAGGGTGGCCTGAAAACCACCCTCAACCCAGGCCTTTGGGCCGGGTTACCCAACCATTTTACCCAAGACCTTTGGGCCGTGCCAAACCCAAGGCTTAGGCCCGTTTAAACCCAAACCCTTGATTTTAAATTGTTTTTATTTTATTTATTAAACCAAGGCCTTTAGGCCTTATCTAAAACCCTAAACCCTTTTGAATTAGGCCCTCAGGCCGTGTGGGTTTGGGCCCGAGCCCAGAAACCTCTTAACCCAATCCTAAAACCCCTAAGTCTAACCCACCTATTTATTTAAACCCTAAAACCCAAATTCTAAACACTTTTCCCTATTTCCTCTAAACCCATTTCTCATAAACCCTAAACCCCTAAGTCCAACCC